TATATATATATATATATATATATATACACACACACATATATATATATACACACACACACACACACAACACAGGTACAGACATGCATATTATTTTTTTTTTTCAGACATGCACATTATTGTTTTGTTTACCAATGTCTACCCCAAGACAAGCACGGTTCTGGGCAGACAGTATATCAAGAAATATTTGCCAGATGATTAAATGGATGCCTATGAAAAACCCCAGCTTGTATGTCCTTCGCTAGTGAAAGGAAGAAAGTCAGGTGAAAATAAAATAAGACTGTGAAGAACAGGGATTCAGACACATAAGACCTTTGATGCAATACTACATGTATAGGTGAACAGGTTTCAAAAATTTACACCAACTTCTGGTCCTGGAAATACGAAAGTACTTACATGGTAAGAAAATATAAAAGGAATGGAAGGAACATTAAAAACTGGGCCAAAAAGCTAGGGCAGTTTTAGTGATTTGGTAACCAAGTTCTGAATCTTGGTACAGATCCTCTTCAAACCTGGCTGTTTATTCCACCAACAACAGTAACTTAGGTATGGGAGAAGTTTATAGGGCATGCAACTACATGAGAACTTGGTATGTTCGGTTTTTGATAGATGTCTACATTGTGTGTGTTCTCATCAGGTATGTCGTCATGCACCTTACACATATGATATACTGAGATAAACATTTCCTCATTATCGTAATATATCCTTTTAAGTCTTACATGTATTTAAGCGCGTGCTCACACATACTTTCCTCCCCCCACCCCACTTTTAGCCCCAATTCACATTGACATTCACTTTTCGTTTCTCTTACCATGGGTAAGTCTTTTAGGATCTGTATTCCATCTCCTGGACCCATGTGTGCTATGTGGTTAAAGTTAGTTGGGTTAGAAATTAATTTATTTCTCATTTCAGGATCTCGTAGCATCTCTCTGTAAGAGAAAATACCTCTTTAGACACTTTTTCGTGATCAATCTAGGTAACTTCAGAAACAAATTAAGGATATTTTATTTTGTCATAAAAATAAACTGTGAAGTCATGTTAATAAGAATAGAATTAAAATAACGAATATAGTCAATTAAAATTTTACTTAGAAGATTCGTTTTACATTTTAAATAAAAGATCTTCTGATTTTGGGTGGGGAAAATAGAGGGTTCTTTCAGTCACAGATCTTAAAGAAGCTCTCCTCTATTTTACAGATAATTCTGACCATTTTATCTATGTCTCTTAAAATAACTGATAACGCTTAAGAATTAGTTTTATATAGAACTAGAAATACTACAAGGTTATTTCTGTTTGCCCATAAAGGGAATAGTTAATCTGAAGTTCTTACAGCTTCACTATTATGCACAGATACATTCTATGTTTATATTATAGAAAGGCTCACATTCTAAAAATTGTAACTACTCCACATACACAGAGAAGTGAATCAAAATATGGTACTTTTATCAAGTTTACTCTTACAACTTGGAGAGCGGTCATTAAAATCACACTGAGAAGTACATTCACTGTTGCAGTGTTTAACCCCACAGATGAATGACAAATTTTCAGAGACCAAATTTTCCTCCCAGATCAAATATAGTATTATCACCAAATAGTCCTTCCAATGCTACGAGCATGTATGGATGATTGTATAAATTAAGTATCTACCTCCTCTGTTGCATCCTTTCCTCTTCTGGGACTCTGAAGGAATAACGCCGCTTATTGTTAATATTTCTAACCATTTGTTTCCGACTATTATCTGATGTTTCAGGAACTACCAGTTCATCCCCTTCTGTTAAAAGAATACAAAAAACAATGATGTTCTTTAAAGTGCTAAAATGCTTTTTATCCATTAATATCTAGACAGTATAACTGTTAATCCATTGTGTAAGTATAGTATATGCAATCCTGCTTTTTAAAAGTTGTGTGTTGATGATCATAGTAAATAACCAAAAATTTTCGAGAACACATATAAGCAGATATATGCTGAAATTAAACATAGCTTAAAAGTGTATTTTCACTTTTATTTGATTATAAACATAAAATGGCACAATTTTTCTAGAAGAAAAAAAGACAACTGTAGCTGCCCTGGCGTCCGGTTCCTCTGGCTGCCCCACTCCCAATATCTCTACACTATTTTCTCTCTCCTTCCCAGGTGCTGGTTTCAATGGCTCAGGGTGTTGAAAAGCTCCTATTGCTAACCTGCATAGTAATCGGGCATAAATGGTAAACTGTCCATGTAAATAATAATGAAAATTATTTTTACATGTTCAAATATTCCCTTTGCAAGATCCAACCTGCGAGATGCACAGCAAGGAAAAGGAATTGTGTTCCAACCAGCTTCCTTTACTAAAGGCAAGAATCTGTCACTATTTCTATTGTGATCTTGGGGGCAGGTGGTACTTCCTCATATCTATCTAGCAACCCAGTACCCATCTTACTCAATTTCAATTTTAATTCCTAGAAATAAACAAAACTATCAGCCAAGGGCTCCCAAAACATGCTGGGATATGTGAACATACTCTAAAATAGATACCTGTGCCTACACAACATGATGGATGCATTCTCTAAATAAGATCAGGAGAAAGAGAAATGCCAATCTTTACAAGTTTTTAAGACCCAAAAAGCTGAGTGAGAAAAAGGAGGTGGGAAGAAGCCAAATAGGCCCAGTAAGGCAGGCCGAAGTAAGACGACTGGTAAAAAAAGCAACCTTTTCTCACTATCACAGTGTTGCAGCGTAATGAGATTGTTTTCCTAACGACACATGTGAAAAGGGCAGAATTTTTTAAGTAGATGCAAACATGAAACCTTGGAATTTGAGCCCTGTGAGGAGAAAGCAGGTCTTGGGGAGATACAGTGGCCGTGGGAGATTTTGGGCAGCCTGAGGGCTGGAGGAGCACTTTGAGCTCCTAAGAGATGAAGGAGAAAGCGAGACAAAGAAAAAGCAAGGCTCTCTAGGAAACAGGATTTCCCTCTCTGCACAAAGGACAAGACAGGTCTTCCCTGTCCAAGCTCCACCTTCACTTGTAGCCTCGAGTAGGATGATGAGAGCACAGGAAAAGACAAGCTGGAATGGGTTTTATGCCAGAGACACAAGCTGGGTAATGGACATATTCTATGATCATCAGGGCCACACACAGTGAGAGCAGGACAGATTCAGTCTTGAACAAATACGTGGAGTTAATCTAAGAAACAGGTACAAACTTTTAAGTGCAGGGTCTTGAAAATGAAGGCGCTAAAGCTTGCTTCATTGGCTTCATGAATGGCCACCGTTTCTAAAACCTGACTATCCTTTCTCAAGTCGCACTGGAATATCCTCTTGGCAAAGAGCTTCTACACTCACCAGTCTGCACACCCAGACACCAACAGGGCCAGCAGGGTTACCAGAGCAACAAATCTGAGGCCAAGCAATTTTACGCGTGTATTTTAGTATTAAGACAAACAAAGTAACAAACCTTTGATGGGTTTTTTTGATAGCAGAATATACAAATGTATTGGAAGAATACGGGGGAAACAAGAAAAGCATAAACAAGATGATAATCCCACTACCCAGAGATAACTGGTATACACATTTTAATGTGTTCTCTTGATGACAATGTTTTCACTTACATTTAAGTCAATTTAAATTATTTTAATTACATATTGTACCATAAGGACATCTTCATTAAATGGATCCACCACAAAAGATTGTCAATTTATGAATACCTCTGTCATGCAGAAATTTGTTGCTAAGACATGAGAATAACTATTATATAGAAGAGAGCATTATATCTGTTGAAAGTGAGGTTTTAACCAGCCAGGCACACTGGCTGGCAAGCAGCTCCCTTGTTTAGTTACATGTAGACAGTCTCCCTGGCCAGGACTCAGCTCACTGCTCTGAACACTGCCCTTCTCTCTGTCACTCCCAGGGTCCCCATTCCCCCTCCTGATTCTGGACACTCCTGTGACTTTGCTTTCTTCCCTGTTGTTATCTGTTGCTCATGTTGTCATTAGCACGTCAGAAGTTCTAAACCCTATGCTCTGGCAGAAGATGTATTCTGAAAGTCCCAAATTGGAACTCTGGATGAATTTTCATAATTTTAGTGCTACAAATCTTGGATAGGTTCCACAGTATTAAAAGCACAGAGGAAATATCCAGCTATACTTTCTCTACTTACCTCAGTACTCCACAAAAAAATAATAAGGTAGGTTAGAAACAAATATTTTGCTTATATAGCTATGCAAGCCTAAACAAAATGGCTTTTTGTCCAGTAGTTTATCTTAGTATATTGCGAGAGTATGACAGAGGCCAAGATCACAGACTTTAAGATACACCTGGGTTTAAATCTGAGCTCTGCAACTTATTATCTTCAGGCAGTCAGCTTACAGAGAATATTTCCATTGAAGCTATCCTAGTCATGTGCATTTTCTTACCTGCCATCTTATTTTTGAAATATATTAATCTAATTGTCTCCAACCCTAAAAGATTTAATGATCCTTCACTGTTTAAGGGTCGAACCTAAAATAATAAAAAACAAAATTAGTACTTCAACAAAACTTTCAAGTATTAAATCATAAGACTTTTGGTCTATCTATAAAGCACAAACTATTAAGAATTTTAATTTATCCTTACTCTTCCTCTTTAAAACATAGCCCTCTCAGAAAATCAACAAACAATTAACGTTAATTCTGACTGGAAAGGTATAAAATTATCTAATTTGAACAAAGTTATAATGATAACATTTTAAAGGAAGACTCTTCTGGGCAAAAAAAAGTACAAATACATTTAAACCTTAAATTTGACTTTTTAAAGCCATTACTGACCAAATGATTATACTAATATATCAACACAGCTACTTTAGGAATTTTATTTTAACTAAACGTACATATATGAGAGAGATAAAATTGTACAACACAGAGGAAGAACTGCCAATAAACAGTGATGGAGCAACTGGTTATCTATATGGAAGAAATGACACTGAATCCCTACTTCACACCATACACAAAAAATCAACTGCAAAAGGATTAAAGACATAAATGTAACAGGCAAAACTTTCAGAGTTTGGAAAGAAAATAAAGGTCATAATTTTATGATCTTGAGGTAGTAGTTTCTTAAACAACAGAAAAGAGATAAACCTAAAGGATAAGAATGATATATTTAACTACATTAAAATTTAGAACACTAAATTGTCAGCAAAACAATATAATTTATTATTTTATAATAAGTGTTCATCAAAACACCATAAAAATTATTAGAAAGGTCACAAACAGGGAAAAAATAAAAGACCCATTATTAACCCTGAATCTATAATATATAAAGAATTTCAATAAATATGTAAGAAAAAGATGACCAAAGAGAAAAATGAACAAAAAACATGACCAGGCATTTCACAGAAGAGGAAACATAAAAAGATTATAAACAATACAGCTGATTAGGGACATGGAAATGAACACTTCAATGAGACACCACTGCATCATCATATATAATGGCTATAAAACTATGGATTCTGACAATGGCTAGTGTTGAGAGGATGTGAGTCAGTAAAAACTCTCACATACTGCTTGCGCATGGGACTGTCAATTGGTACAATTATTTTGGAAAATAACACTATTTTATAAAGTTGAATACTTGCATTCCCCATGTCCTATCAATTCCGTCCCTAGGCACATGACTTAAAGAAACTGTGGCACACATGCACCAGAAAATATATGCAGCAATGTTCACGATAGTAAAAAGCTAGGAAATAATTCAAATGTGCTAATCAGAGAAGAGATAAATTATGACCTATTCACCCAACAGAATATTTTATATAGTGGAAAGCAATGAACAACACTTAACAACATGGAGGAAACTTAGAAACACAGTAAATGCACGCAGATGACATACAACGTAACATTTTATAATCTCAAACACAAGCAGAACTGAACAATGTATTGTTTGGGAATATTTAAATGTACAAAAGTTCTGGATTTTTAAGAAAAGGGAATGATGAACACAGCATTGGGGATAGTGATTTTCCCTGGAAAGAGGCAGGAGTATGGGATAAGGGGAAAACACACAGGTATTTTTGTAATGTTCTGGCTCTTAAGTTAGCAGGTAGGTTCATTAGTGATCAGTTTATTATTAAGCTTCATAAAGTTCCTATATTCCTTCATATATGTTGGAAATTTTACATAATGCAAATAAAAGGGAAAAGTAATTGTAACCAGCTCAAATTTACAAATTGGAGGACTGTAAATTTTGCTTTATATAATGCAGCAGTATTTATAAGAGCTTTATTCACTGCTGATGTGGTTTAAAATTGGGGAAGATTTTGAAATATGTTTTTGGCTACTTTCTTTAACCTATTCTTTTAAGCCTTGGCCCCCAACTAATGATAGATGCTACATATATCTATATGAAACTATTACTCTTCACTTTTGCAAAATAACTGTTCTATACCACTTGAAAAAATTCTCTTCATCATAGGGAAATATTACAGGAAAATATGTTTTATTAGGAATACGTGAAACTTTTCTATTTTTTAATCATGAGATGCTTAAACACAGTTTGGTTCTAATTTTAATCACTTTTCTAGCCTGTAAATATGTCCTCACAGGATTTCAAATTGCATACCATTATGTGAAAAACAGTTATAATTAAGAATAATACACTCCCTTGGAGCTCCTTAAACCAAAGTGGAAGATAACACTGACACTTTAGGTTGTAGGGTTATATTCTAGTTGTTTGCTATAATAATCATACTTTATATGTAATCAAAATAGTATAGTGTTGAGAGCTACCTAGAAAATTAACCAGCCTGATTTTTGCTTTTATTTTTTTACTCTTAAACTAAGTCCCAAGTTATCAATTACATATGCCACAAAATGCTGAATCAGTGAAAAACAGCTAAATAGTCATATTAGTGTTACTTACACTCATTAGTTTGCTTTGACCTATTTTACTGTTAAATTACCTTTTTGAGTGGGAGAGTCTGAATCCATTCCATGGAGTTCACATCAAAGATGTCAACCGCATTCTCGCTGTACACTGAGAGATACGGCGCATTGTAACCTGGGAGAAAGGAATACAGAACAGACGGCTGGTGACTTTTAACAATTAAACCCAAACATTCTGACAGATCTATGCTAAATAACTGTAGAGTAGAATCCCACCCAAATCCTATTGTTATCATATTGCAGCCACATCAAAACCTTTTCAAAGTAAACAGAATATAAATCATAAAAGAAGAGATTCTATAGCCACTATAATACAGAAGGATTCTGCTAACACCAAGTGTACAATATTCCCCTGCCCAATACTAGTTCTATAAAGGAATTTCAGTAATTTTAAAGTATCTGAGTCCTAAAGTAGTTAAGCTACTGACAGTGAAACAAACTTACAGAGCAGAGAAATCTCTAGGTAAGCGTTCTAGTCAGCTCTGAATGTCTGATAAAGCACCTGGTGTAGTTACATGAATAGGGCAGGTGCTCGCTATGTACTTAGTGAAAGAATGAACATCAACAAATGGTGATACAAGCAAAGAGAGATTAAATGATTTATCTAAACTGAGGTCACAGGGCCGGCAGAGTAGCACGTTAGTTAAGAGCTGGCTTGGGACACCAGAGGGCCCTGGTTCGGATCCCACATATGAGAGGCAGTGACACTGCCCTCTACAGCTAAGATGCTGAACAACAGCTCAACCTGGAGCTGGGCTGCCGTGAGTCGCCTACATGACAGCGTAGGCTGTAGCCACTGCTGCAGTGGGTTGCCATGGGCTACCGTGTGTAGCCAGCAGCCAGCATGAGCAGCAGCCGTCCAGAAGCCTGCAACCGATCTCCCTCACCCGGGAAGAGCGCAATGATGGTGCCAACTTGGGACAGTGAAGCAACGTCCTCCACAACTAGACTGAAGAACAAAACGACAGCAACTTGTCTGTT